TCCGTTCTTCAAAGGGCCTTACCGCCGGAGACGGAAATCCGTGAGGTAAGGTGAGGTGTGCATTTTTAGGGTCGACCTTTTCTAACCCCACCCCTCCTTGTGGGAAGGCAGCATCGCTGTCATGCTGGTTGTCTGAAGGAAACACCTTACTGCTGTCACACCTCTGTACAGTCAGCAGTACGACTTCGCCTTCGGACCTTGGGTTTGTTGCTTTTAGTCTTACCGCTCTTCAACCGACCTGTCTGACATGGTAGGACCTTGAGGAACGGTTGTTCCAGCCAGTATAGCTCGGTTGCTTCATCACGATAGGCAAGCCCGACCACCACGTCAAGGTAGCAACAACGGTCGGTTGACCCTTTAACTTTGTAAAAGTATCGGTGATTTAAGTATAAAATTGCTAGTAATTTAAATGCATCGCTTTCAGCCGCTAAATTAACAATTAGTATCATTTTTTGCCAACTTTCGTTTTAGAAACTGAATAGTATAACTTGACTTTATATATATCAAAATATGGTTTAAAAACTCGACTTACTATTCTCTTAACTGGATTTTCATCATATATTATGTTGTACAAAAATTTCAGGTCAGTTCACTTGTGGGAATGTAGCTTGCCCAGCTGGATCTGAACGTCTTCGTAGTTGGGAAGTGAATTTTGTTTATCAGGAACGTGGTGAACGACGTAATGCTTTGGTTAAAATACGTTTATGTCCTCCTTGTTCCGAGAAGTTGAATTATCGATATCGGTCAGTCAGACTTACAAATAATTTTAAAATTCAAATTTGCTTTTCACACTGATTTCATTATTACGCCTCTAGCGATTACTTTTTCTTTCCATATAATTTTCTGGGAGTTTTGAATTGGATGGTTTACATCATGAAGTGGGTAACCTTAGATAGCTATTGAAAACCAAGAAACTTTGGATTACTGTTTCGTCCTAGTATTAGACTATTTAACTATACACATCCATAACCCCACCGGCAGTGGCAGAGAAAATTAACTTGATAAAAATAAAGGAAAAGGAATTAGTTTCTGCTGCAAAGGACATATAATGCCAAAGGAAAAACATGTTTTCAAAGAAAAAAGCAGTTAGCTTTAGAGGAAGATAGTTATTTAGTGCAACTGTATTATTGTGACCAAATTTGCCTCCATTCCACCCAACATTTCCATCTGTCGATTACTAGCATTTGATAGTCCCCAACTGACTAGAAAGTTTCAGTCATTAGCTATTGACTTCATATACTAATGAGATATCTTGTTCTGCTAGCATTTACCTCTTGTTCAGTTTATTTATATTTTAATCAGTGTTACACTTCATGGTAGTTGCTGGTTAGATATTTTTAATATATGTCTTAATCACTTCAATCGATAAAGGTTCACAGCCTTCAAACCAACTTCAGATTTTTATTTAGTACCCGTTATCTAACTCAATTGCTAGTTGTATTTTATAAATAAGTTTGAAAGTAATCTGAATATATCTAATGCTTTTTAGGGTGACATGCGAGCCTCTAGTCACACATTTAGTCTATCAATTATTTACTTTTTCTAGTTTGATGCATGTTGACTGGTTGAATGTGTTTTTATTGAATAGGTGGTTGTTGAGTAGATTGACTTGCTTTGTTTGTAGTATTCGAATAAAATAGTTTATAGGTAATATCTATTTAGTTGTGACGGAATTTCGAGTCTCACGGGAAGGGTTCTTTTTATTCAAAAGTTCAAACACCCCCCCGTAATAACAGATGTTAACTGATACAAAATCTAAATATTATACTTATTGTAGTCTCAGTGCTTACTGCCAATCACTTTCAATCCTCTAAAATATTAAAACACAAAACATTGGAATTCGACTCAAACTAGTATCCATATTGTAATTTGATTAATCGTATACAATCAATGCTAAGAATAGATAAGTATGATATCGGGTACTACTATTCAGTAATCAATCTCTTCAGTGGTTTTTTAATCCATTCATTTCAATATTTTATAAAATCTCAAGGGTTATTTTAATAATATAACGACAAATTTGCCACACGACATTTACACAGCATGATGAGATTATCAAGACAAATATTAATTGATTAATAAATACAGTAGTGTTTAGTAGTCCTCTTGTTTGTTAGCGTTTGATTACAAATATGCCGAACTTGGATTTAATCAACACTTTGAGTAATAAACATGGAAACCGCTAGAACGCTCAGCATTTATGTTGTTCCATTTTATTACCTACAGAAAACGTTTGTTTAATTTTCATTATTTTTTTCTTTTGGTTTTAAAGGAGGCGAGATGTTACCGGTAAACAATTAAATTCACATCAAGGTGACGATGAACGCATCACTAGTGAACAAGGAACAAATAATGGTGATGATAATAATATAGACTCTTCAAGTACTTCCCCGTCCTCAAAGCGTCCACGTATTGATGACACTAACGATAATAATAATGATAATGTCAAAGCGTTATCATCTGAAGAGAAATCTGTCGATCTGAATTCAATATGGTGTTGTACATCAAGTCAATCGGGACAGAATAGCAGTAAAAGATCCTCAACTACTTCTACCGCTACGAGTAGTGTTGGTACTATCAAAACACAAGATGATGAATTTGATGAATATTTTGCCGATATGTTAATGTAACTTAGTGATTATACTGCTATTATCACTTTTTGCTTCTACTTTCCATCTTCCCCTCTCTTGCACACACATTTACATACACAAATACCAATCATTCTGTACAGATACTATGTATAATTTTCTTTCATGCTTTATGCTACTGTTTCATATAGATTCGGTCTAAACTATTCTTACTGGTAATTACGTCAGCCTTAGTCAAATTTTAATTGCCTGTATATTGTGTTTTACTTATGTACTGTTCAGTATGTTAACATTCAAAAGACCTTATACTTATCTAATTATGATATATTAAAGGCGGTTTTTGCATTTTTCTTTTGTAAATTTAGTACAAATTATTCCTATTTATTCTTTTATTTGAAGTTGTATGTGCGTCTGTGTCTGCCCTCTTGTTTGGTGTATCGGTTATACGCAATTGAAATACAACAAATAATCATTTGGTTTTGTGTTTTAACATTTATTAATTTGAAGACGAAGTACTTAATTATTCGTTCGCATTAGTTTGTGCGGATTGTCTCGATATTACCTTTAATTCATAACCATTCTAACTTGAGTTAAACGGTGGCTACCAGTAGAAACTAGGACAAATGTTTCGTCCTGTTCGGAACTTCTCAGCTGTGTTATGAATAGGACTTGCACTACTACTTATTAAGGTGGATTAACAAGTAAACGTTGGTTAGTCCGTGTTTTCATTCTTGGTCGAGTTATTTTGACATTAAATTAAAATATTATCACTAAGTAAAATATCAGAAACTTACACTACACCGTATTTGGTGCCTGGAGTTTAAAGTTGGTAAATAAGATATTTTGGACGGACATCTTGTTGCGTTATCATTTCCATCTTGAAGTTTGTGTTTAACAACTAACAATTTGTACAATTGTTTATTAAATAAGTAATAGCTGATCACTGTACACTGCAAATGATTTATTCTTGTCTTTTTTAATGAATATATCGTATAAATTTGTAAGTAAGGAAACGAACAAGTGGTTTATTATACACTGAGTCCATCTGTAAATTAACTAAATAAGCTTACTAGATAATCACATATAATTCCAAAGTGTTTGTATCAAAATTAACAATTATCTAATGATCATTGAAAGTCAGGAACTATTATACAACGACTTATACCGTATCCGAAGAGATACTACGTCATTTGTCAATTTAGAACACATGCAAGGTGAAAGCGACATGTTTATTTGGTAACGAAATGTTAAGTATATTGCCCAGCAGTAACGTATATATGTCTTTATGACTATGACGGTAAAGAGGATGCGTAGGCTGTTAGTATTCATTCACATATCTTCAAAGCAGTACTCAGGTATAGTGTAATAATCACTGGATGAATAATGATGTTAGTTGTAAGAACCTAGATAAAGGTAAGTCAGTTTTGATTTTTCATTGACTGGATAGGAACCTGTATTACTTATACACATATAGTAAGCTATGAGTAATTTGGGAGCCACATGAAATCAACGCAATTCACTAACTGTCGATTTGAGTTACTTTAATGTAAAATCACCAGTTGAAATTAATTCGGTAAAATTAGTCTATGCCTTCAGGTTACAAGTAACAGTTCAAAATTGGTCGAGAATGAGATATTTTTATTTCTTGTCTTCTGCGAAATCTAAAGTTTAAATATGTATTGGTATTACCATATTCAGTTTTTGATAGAATTCAGGTATGTCTAAAGTGGGACGATTGTCAGCAGTAGCACTGGACGACTGTTGTGCTACATTGCAAACTGATTGAATTTAGAAATGTGATACCAGCCTACTGGTTCTAGTGATTAGGCGTCTGTAGTAGGACCTGAATGCCTTGATTTCGCACTCCTGAGAAGTCTCATAGTAGGACAAAAAACTGTCCGGTGTCAGTCGGTTTTTAGTTGTATCCCAAAATAAGACCAATATGATAAATACTACCTACAAATTGTTGACGCCGTACAATCTTACAGTTGTTGATTTTCATCCGTTAGGTTGATGTGTGTGATAACTTGAACTAATACACATTTGCAGTAGATTCTAAGCTGTCTACAACTGACTAGACTTCATTATTATTATTCACGTATAACTACTCAGAGAGTGAATGACAAAAACACAAAATACAGTCATCCCATCATTACACTATTATATCAATTTTTAATATATTTATTGAAACCTATGCGTCAGCATCGTGAAGTGATGGCTTAATTGTAAAGGCATTCAACTAATAGTCGTTAAGTTCCAGGTTCAAAGAACTTTAAATTAATTACTCAATCATTATCACTAGCATTCCTACTTAGAGTATGCTTTGAACTCCCAAATACAGAAATCAATATCTGATAAATAAATTGATTCATCAATCTAAGAACATGAATAGATAAATAAGAAGAAAAAACGTACTTCTATTTAAGTGAATCTGTATTCACTATCTAAATAATGAAGAAAAAAGAAAAGAAAATTTATGACATAATACTGTTTCTCCTCATTTTTTCGGTCTATAAGTATATGATTTTAAATAAGCTGGAACAGATTCATATAACGCACGTTCAGTTCGTCGTGATATTCGACTCTTTTCATGTACACTATTACTATTATTTGTTGTTGTTGTTGTAAAACTTCCACTAGACGAAGGTGGTGGTGTTGATCCTTTCGTTGATGTATTCATATGTGCAGCTAAAGTATTTGGTGGTAAATTAGTTAGACGTGGATATGGTGTACCATAATGTAAAGTTAATTCTATTCTTGCTTCAGCTTCTTTAATATGATTCTATTTGAATGAAATAAAGTATATGAAAAGAGTAATAAAACATCATGGGTCATAAACGAAGTATAACATGGGATAAATGTGGATTCGTTCAAAGCAGTCAGATATAATTATCAAGTGAAATGAATGTTCGAGTAGTGGAACTAGAAAAACAGTATCAGTGATAGTAGAAAAAAATTAGGCATAGAGAATATGATTTGAAAGGAAAGAATTTGAATAATATATAGTATAGAATAGTTTTAAAACTTAAGGATACATCTAAACTAATGTAACCAATTTTAAACCCAAGGTCTTTAATTGTCAGTCATGATAATCGTGTAAGCCTCAATCAATTAGTCTATATTTGCCAACAAATATTCAACCAAAAACAATAACACCAAATACATATGCGCTACACGATAACAGTGGGCTGTGAAGTGATAGAGAATATAAAGTGTGTATAATGAAAAGAACAACAATGAATAGAAATTAGCGTATGAAAGGGAAATAATAATAATGGCAGAAACAGTTCAGGTAGCACAAATACAATTAGAAACAATTATTTCAGTTAAAGAAGTTAAGTCCAATTTCATGAAATTAAAAGAAATTTATAGCAAAATCGCCACTGGTTTCTATTCTGTGCCATGTATGATAACGTCTCGAGGCATTATCTTGAGTCTACAAGGACCAATAGGGGTCAGTAATGTACAGCTTTATTGCATGCTTGCATGATTTGGGTATCATTGCACAGTAAGACAATATCACCCGAATACTCAAGGTTGAAAAGTCTTTTTCCAGACAACAGATCCATACCACCATTACCTACATCCATCAGGGCCGTTTCCAGAATGTCATCGGTGACCAAGTTGAAGAGGAATGGTGAGATTGAGTAACCCCGCCTAATCCCACTGCTTGAATGGAACAATGGAGGGTTGTGGTTGTATGCCCTCACTCTGCCGGAGGTGTTTGTATATAGGATTTTCAAGACGTTAATACACTTCTCAGGCACACCTTTCTTCAATAGACAATCCCAGAGAACAGTCCTGTCCAACGAATCGAAGGCAGTCGTGATGTCAAGAAACATTACGATTGTTGGCCTGTGATCAGTATGATGGTGTTCTAACATTTGGCGGAGGGTGAAGATATGATCAATACATCCTCGACCAGAACGAAAACCAACCTGATCCTCTCGAGTCAATCTTTCTCGGGTTTTGAACAACCTACGAAGTATAACAGAAGCCAATAGTTTGGACGCGATCAGAAGTAGAATTATCCCCCGATAGTTGTTATAGAAACGACGTGAACCATTTTTAAAGATAGGGCTAACTATCGACTCAGTCCAGGATGTTGGAACACCCTCTCAGTGTTTTGTAAATAAAAATTTGGTTAATTTGATTAGTGAATTCTCGACAGTGTACATGAAAGAGGAAAGTGCTGGTCGATAGATGATATCAATATGATACTATGGGGTTACTTGGTGGTTAATCACGAGGCCGAATTATTGAAAAACGTCCCCCCTTACAGTTATCCAAATGATTACAAACCAACAAAACAAGTGTCCATTAGAAAAGGACTTCCCTCTAACGAAATAGTATTCTTTTATGCAAAGTATTAATGAAAATAAACATTTGCATCTGGAGGTAATCAATTTCGTAGGTCACTTTAATTAGTCAAGACCTTGCTCAAACTAATATAGTGTTAAAAGTGAGAGTTAAGAAAGATCACATCTCTTACTTCAATTTCTATCTCATCTGTAATATGTGCATTTTGACGAAATAAAGTTCTTGCTTCCTCTTTTATATAATCAGCTTGGCGTGACGAATCTTCGGCTGAACCAGAGTTTGCTTGCCATATTCGAGCAATTCTAAATATTTGCCGATACAATGATAGGACACGAGGACGAGTTTTTACTGAATTTACAACATTGGCAGCCTACAGTTTACGATACAAAGCAACAATATATATATTAGCATATATGATGAAAAGGAATTCAGGGAAGTTGACGAATAAAAAAAAGCAGATCCATCAAAGCAATTAAATAACTTCTGTTTATCAAGCCCAATATCATGGACATAGATAGGAATCAATTTAAATGAATTATTCAGTAGATTTGTGACAATTGATAAAATAAAAAGGAAATATTCACGGTTCGATGTCATATGGTAAGTGTTGGTGTACAAAGTAAGTAACATGATTTCCATTCAACATAACATATCTTAACACTGGATAGCCCCTTGAATTTCTGTCAACAATGTTAACACTTTAAGAGTATTGAGCCAACACATTTAAAACTATTCACAAAGAACCCTTATTTCGTTGATCTTAAAACAACTGTCCATTGAGCAATGTGGTCACGCTTTTAGATCTTATTGATCACTCACAATACAGTTTCCTTTTCAAGTACCTCTAACAGCACTCAAGTGAGGAAAACTTTTATTTGAATGAATCAGAATTAGATGTTTTATATGTCCAACTATGGTAACTTCGTACTATATCTAGAACGATAACTTTTAACCATTCTCATTAATGATTTTAGATCATCCATGTTATAACTTGTGGCCTGTGTACCCTGTTAATGTATAACGTGATGATCAGTGAATTATCGATCGGACCAATAACGCACAAAACACGTGCAAGCAGTCTACAGTCCTTATCGGTCCTGCTTCCTACCTATCCCAGCCAGTCAAGTCCAGAACACCAATCTCAGCTTCTGTGATATTAATCATTTATTTAAAACATACTGGGTTTATATACCAACCAGACAGACCACATCGTACCATAAAATACGAAACAACATTTATACATGATTTAGCCAAATGTGACTGTGAACGTGGGAGGTATTAATTAATAGACAGGTCATAATCCAAGGATGATAAATAGTATATTAGTAGTTCATAGGTCAAAATGAAGCTCATGATAAGAGGGACATGAATATGAATAGTTTAGTTATCTAACAATTATACGATAAAAATATAGGCATAGTATTGATCCATAAATGGACCCCAAAAGTTACCATTCATTATGCTTATCGGGGCATAACAATCTAACGCATTGAAATATCAACCTTAAAGCCAGACATCAGAGTGGATACAATATTCAAAACACTCGTCAGTTTGTAAAAAAAATTCCCAGAAAACGATCCTTTAATATACTTATTGGTGACTGAAGTTTGGGTGGATTTTACAAAGAGGCTGTAATTTGGTGAGTCAATCAAGTAGGTAATAAGATAACTCAGAAATGAGATTTATTAATTATAACGTTATACATCAAAGTCTTTTGAGCTGAATCTTTTATTGATTCGTTTGCTTGGACTATAAAGAAGTTTCCAATCGGGACAAAAAAGGGACAATGACAGTACTTAGCTTTTGTCAACCGTAGTCGATGGTGAACAAAACCATCTCTTTAATAAAATGTACTAAAATATTATAGTGTACTAAACAATACTCCCTTTAAAGTATTTCAGCAGCGGTGCTTTTCAGTGAAAAATAAATTCAAACAAGAGAATGTTGTGCTGTATATAACTAGATACCGTTGGATCAGTATGATTATTTATTACTGATAACCCAGGTAAATAAAATATATGTACACGAGTCTTAACTGATTATCAAACACTACAAGAAAGTAAATTAAAACGTGATATTATCTCACGAGCTGAACTTCGGAGTTTCAAGCGGGTGACGTACGTGTTCTGATCTATGTATTACCGTTTGTACAGAAGATATAACAAGAAAAGTTGGACTCGATAAGTTTCAAATGACTTACACATGCTAAAGGTGATCGTACCCATTTTGGCAAAATACTCTTTACTGATGTATAATGCAAAATATGCGTTATTTTATTCAACTTTTTTATTACTAGTTAATAATCTCCCTGCGAGTATATTCCCTGAGCTAATTACAAATTACATAGCTTTAAAAGATCATTTTTCATGTTTTGGAATCAATGTAATTCAAGTGGAAGACAGATGTATAAAACACAATGGGAAGACCTAATGTGGCAGACTCAAACTCAGAATTTAAGTGCAGTAATTCGAAGAAATTTCATGTTATTCATTTAAAAATCAAGTTTATCATGTAACTATCTGAGGATTATGTGTTATTATGACCTGTTATTGTTAGTGTCGTATTGAGTGTGATAGCTTAAAGTAAAATACAGAAATATAGCATTGATGAAACGTTTCTGTATGTTACTCAGTTAGTCACAACTTAGAATCCTGTACATATGTATATCGGTTCAAGTTGCAATACCTCATAACCGCATAGTGATGAAGTTGTCAGGCCGAATTCCAGAGTAGGAGTAGTAATAACGCCCTTAAATGCCCTGGTACGGCTGAAAGTGGGGAGAGTTAACTCTCCCTCTCGAAATGCTATCACATAGACACCTGCATACAACCACTGCCAAGGAAGTCCCACTCACTGTCTTCTCGTGGTGGGGGGTATTGTTTACGAAATTGAGAAGACGAAAAGCCATATCCGGTGCTTTAACCGGGTTGGTGGATATGGAGGATCCACCTAGAGGAATTGGAAAACCCTGACTCCAAACCAATGGTGCACATGGGCTCCAGGATCCTGAGGAAACAAATGGCGTATGAACCTATTGTTGGTCACTGGCTATTATGTGATTGCATCTTCTAACGTTGGTCCACTGTCTTGTGGATTAGACCTCTAGGCCAAAGGCTCGGTGTGTGCCCCTCTAAGAAAACCACCTGCTTCGGTTCAGGCATGTGGCAGTATCCTAGCCTCAAACAATTGAATGATTTATGTGGCACATATCTGTCTAATGTTTCCTTGCACCAATGTTTGTGTGTTTAAATAAATGAGGAGGTTATAACAGCATCATTAGTAATAGGAAGACTTAGAAATTAAAGATATAATTCAGTAAGAAAATAGAAACTGCTGAAATTAAAACAAAAAAAGTTATGAGAAATTCAGAATTTGTTATGTATACAACTAGGCTAGAACCTCCAGTCAAAATATTAACTGAGAACAATAATAATGAATTATTATAATTAGTTTTTAATGTTAATGGAACAGTTTAATATCACTGTCAGAAGTCTTTATCGAAAGACTGAGTTACTATTAGATATAAAGCAGAGAACTCAGAAGCAACAGTCAACTGATTAGTATTTGTAATTTGGAGAACATAGTTATCACAGATTTGACGATACCTGGTTAGTTAGCTTACATTGATTCTAATGAAAGTTTTTCATAAACTCCTATATTGAGCCTTTCCATATGAACAGTAAGATTTATAATGCACTTAATCACTTATCTGTGGAATAGTGACTACATTCTGAGCTATAACCACAGTAAACAATATCATCCTTGTAGAAGATTAGAAAAGATATTAGTAAATATATCAGTTATAGAATTGTAAAATGAATTAAGTTATTTTTCGTGTTTTATTAACTCTTAATGAAACCATTATTATATCCATCTTTGAATAAGATCAATATTATATGTTAACTGCACAGATCATACAATCAAATAATTTATTCATTTTAACTAAATAGTGAGATATACTCAATAATCGTTAACAATGGTTGGAGACGGGTAAAGTAGATCAGAACTAATTACAAATATATTTAACTCCATGATCTAGATCTTCAGTTGCAGTTTTCCTTTTCACATATGTTTTTTAGGATTGTATTCTCATTATTCAGCCTTTCATTTCTTTGCCACTGAATTTTTTCGATTCATTTAGTTTGTTAATTTTATCTCGTTGTGCAACTGAGATATGATAATTTGAGCTAATCCACATATGTGCAAGACTCAACGCTGATTATGACTGAATGGTATAGCATGAATGCTTAGCGATGAAACAATCAGTGACAATCTATTATATTATCTTTTAACATCCAATTATTTCACATCCTCAGTAAACACAATCTAAATAAATTTGTTTTAAATATTGTTAGTTATGATTTGCAATAGAAAAGTTAAAAGTAAAGAACAACTACCCTGGGAGTGCTTTTAGACAACTGACAGCTTCTTTCCGTATGTTAGCATTTTTGAGCAAGTTGATTTTCTAGGGGATGGGGTTGCCAACCCCATGCCAAACCCTTCTCATTTATCCGGGCTTGGGACCGGCAGTAGCCCCAGAGGGGTTCCAGACGTAGTTTCTTTCCATGTGTGCTAAATTCTATTCTCATCAAAACTGCTAGTTTTATTAATAACCTATAATACTTCGTGTATACAATAGCATTATGTTTGTGAAATCAATTTAGTAAGTTTGGTCTAATTAATATTTATCACTTATAGTAAACTAAAGAGAAATCAATTTGTCATGATTTAATCTGTATTTTAACAAACATTTTTATACGAGAAACTAAGTTGTAAAATTAATCCGTTTAAGCACTAAAGTTAAAAACATCGGTCTACTTCAATATATAACACCTTTTGAATGATGTGAAAAATTGATTACCGTATAATCTAACAAAAACATTATGATAAGAATCATACTTTAATTTAGGACAAAAGTTCATAATGTGTACAAGTTCATATTGACTGTAATAGTGCAACACAAATATAATTGAGATGTACAAGTGATCTGAATATGCTTAAACATAATACATAAGCTTTAATTAAAGTAAAGATGGATAAGGGCTAATAATAAGATTCTGGAAGAGCGTCTTGTACTACCTGAGATTATCAGTTAAACATATCTCCTTTAGAGTTGATATTCACATTCGGATTTGAACTCTGTATCTTTCTTTTAAAACGCCGAAAGCGTTATCTACTGACCTATTAAGTCCTGATAGCCAATGGCTCGTGTTTAAATCGTCAGACTAATCCTAATTCAGTCCTTAAAATCAGTAACGAGGAAATTCAAACAAATACAGATAAATAAAAGAAGTTTTGATTGTCGGTGAACTAGTGAAAACAAAAAAAGGCAACACATATATATCAATCATGAGAATATCTTTAACTGAAGTTTGAGGAAAATGAATAGCCATGAATAGACAATGAAAATTTATTGAATGAATTAAAATCTTATAACATATCTCAACTGAGGGGATGTAAGTAATTGAAAACTAGTCACACCTAGAGAAGACAATGAAAAAGATGGGATATGTGCAAGTACGTACACTCAGTTGACTTTGAACTATACAATAATAATGATAAAACTAACTAGCTATATAAAGCAAAGAAGGGATGGTGAGGTTTAATCACAAAGAAAGATATTTTTATCGTATAACTGTTAAATAACAAAAATGTTCATATTCGTGTCCCTCTTATTATAAGCTTTCTTTTATTTTTTTTAACACAAATATTGGTACAAGGAGGCACCAAATACGTATGCGCCACACAAATCTCATTCGATATGTGTGAGGGTTGTGATACTGTACGAGTGCCCAAACCGAAGCATGTGGTCTTCTTAGGGGGCCACTCCCCGAGCCTTCGACCTGGAGGTCTGATCCACAAGGAAGTGGAGCATCGTAAGGAGATGGAGTCCCATGGAAGCCGGTGACCAACAAATGGTTCACACGCCATTTTTTCCCGCAGGATACTGGAGCCCATGTTCAACATTGATTTGGAATCCGGTTAAAGAGCCGGACTTTCACTTTTCGTCCTCTCATTTTTGTAAACGACACCCCTACCACGAGAAGGCAGTGAGTAGGACTTCCCTAGCAGAGGCTATATACGCGTGGCCATGTGAGAGCATTTGGGGGCTTTATTTTCACCGATGAACTATTGTCATACGATTTACCCTTCTTCAATTATGACCTGTCTATTAATTAATACCTCCCACGTTCACAGCCACTTTTGGCTAAATCATGTACAAATGTTGTTTCGTATTTTATGGTACGATGTGGTCTGTCTGGTTGGTATATAAACCCAGTATGTTTTAAATAAATGATTAATATCACAGAAGCTGAGATTGGTGTTCTGGACTTGACTGGCTGGGATAGGTAGGAAGCAGGACCGATAAGGACTGTAGACTGCTTGCACGTGTTTTGTGCGTTATTGGTCCGATCGATAATTCACTGATCATCACGTTATACATTAACAGGGTACACAGGCCACAAGTTATAACAACAACTTTGAGACTGGTTAACCGCTTAAGCACTCAGTAAGCCCATCCCACGGTTTACATCCTATATTTATTTGTAACCACTAATTTCCATTAGTAAAACTTATCTCATTCCCAACAAGACTGAACTCCACTAGTTATGACTTTTCACCGGAATTCCGGGAATGTTCCTTCAAGGTTAGTCACTAGTAAACAAATGAACGTTGTTATCATTAGTACGCTGAAACGCACAAAATGTAGTTACGAGTCACAGATCAACCACAGATTATGAACAGATTTATTCACTAAATGATAACCATTTTTATAAGCCTGAAAGAGGTCCACAGTATTAACAGCCTTGTAGAGTAAAGCATCTAAGGAACATAATTGAATATCATCAACACAGGCAAATGTCTAATAAACTTCGTGTAGTCATCAGAATCTGACAAGAAATACTTAACAATAAAATTTATGATGGAAAAAATAACTACTTCCGATTTCTGTCACTTATATGTGGGTGTTTTTTAACACAATGATTTAGTTATCGTCATAAAATCTGATTTATCTAAAAATGATTGTAGGAAGTGAGTTGGGAAAAAAGAGCAAGGCGTGAAATGACCCAAGAAAGAACGAAATCAATCCAGAAAGAATAATTTCTGCTTGTACTTGATTTCATTTGTTTAGTAGTAATACAATGATCATATTCGTCAGGGTCTTGCAAATGTTTCAATACTCTGGATTTGTATCATAATAAAATGCAAGGTGCAGTAAGGAAATATGAGTTACTGAATTATTCACAACCAGTATTATTTGACTACATATAAATAGGCACCAGCTGTAAGTGATATTTAGTAAATAGAATTAAAATAGTAACTTGGATTGATTAAGTGTTAGTTTGTAGGCGAGTTTGAGCATAGAATAGATCGAAAGCTAAATTTAAAGTTTTTGTAATACTTTTTTTCTGTGAACACAGATCATCTAACAGATTCATATGACGACTAACATTGTCAATCCAATGTGGAAACTACCTTGGTGACAATCATGAGCGAACCCGGTTAATTTATTATGTTTGCAATATATTCTGTGAATGATACGAAATTTGAAATCTTTCGATATTTTGGTGAATAATTTTTTCTGGTTAGCGTTTTTTTAGTGAGTTAGTTTTCTACAGGATGTGGACGCTAACCCCATGCCCAACCCTCCTCCTTTATCCGGGCTTGGGACCGGCAGTAGCCTCCGGAGGGACTTCAGGCGGACAGGGTGGATCTGATGCTGATATGAAGGCGCGGATCGACAAAGGAAGAACAGAATATTTACAACTGAGATACATCTGGAACTTAAAGCAACTGTCAACCAACACCAAGGTCAGGATTTTCAATACAAATGTCAAGACAGTTCTACTGTATGGGGCAGAAACCTGGAGAACTACGAAAGCCATCATCCAGAAGATACAGGTGTTTATTAACAGTTGTCTACGCAAAATACTTCAGATCCGTTGACCGGACACGATTAGCAACAGCCTACTGTGGGAGAGAACAAACCAGACCCCAGCGGAGGAAGAAATCAGGAAGAAGTGCTGGAAGTGGATAGGACACACATTGAGGAAAGCACTCAACTGAGTCACAAGACAAGCCCTCGCATGGAACCCTCAAGGCCAATAGGGGGTGAAGAGGAAGACCAAAGAACACATTACGCCGGGAAATGGAAATAGACATGAGAAAAATGAACAAGAATTGGATGGAATTTAAAAGGAAGGCTTAGAACATATTGGGTTGGAGAATGCTGGTCGGCGGCCTATGCTTCATTGGGAGTAACAGGCGTGCGTAAGTAAGTAAGGCAAATCAGTTTGTCCTGAGAGAGTGATTGATCAGTTCTAACGGTACTCTGACATTTTTAATGAATGACCAAATCACCATAGAACTTTTCAACTAAACTATGATAGTTGGCTTACTGGTGACTTACTTGAAGAGTGATCTAAAGCTCTACAGACAAATTATAAATGATAGAGTTTAGACAAGTTAGGATTGAGACAATTATTTCCGATGATATAAAATAATCGTCAACAAAATATCGCAAATCAATTATACTTGAAATCACACCAATGAACTTCAAATCAATGGTTCTAATGATTAATTGTTCACTGTGACACTTCAAGCTCCCGAGTTCAACCTCTAGCAGGGTCAACAATTTGCATTTATCAGTTCTGTAACAGGATAAACCGGCTGCCACTGACATTAAACTGAGGAATACGACTTAAAAATTAAACTAATCAGTAAACTAAAAACTAATTTATTAATGTGACTTATTATTTTTAATTTATTTGAACGCAAACATAGATACAAGAAAACACCAAATAGACATGCGCCACATAAATCATTCGATTTGTGTGAGGCTAGGATACTGCCGCATGCCCGAACCGAAGCAGGTGGTTTTCTTAGAGGGGCACACACCGAGCCTTAGGCCTAGAGGTTCAGTCTGTAAACAGTGAACCAACGTTAGAAGATGCAGTCACATGATGGCCGGTGACCAACAATAGGTTCATACGCCATTTGTTTACTCAGGATCCTGGAGCCCATGTGCACCATTGGTTTGGAGTCAGGGTTTCCAACTCCTCTAGGTGGATCCTCCATATCCACCAACCCGGTTAAAGCGCCGGACATTGGCTTTTCGTTTTCTCAATTTCGTAAACAATATTCATAGGCTACTAGTATTCGATCATAGGTGTCTTCGAAACATTGCTCGTATATCCTGAGACCATCGAGTAAGTAATGCAGTTGTTAGGGAATGGGTACTAGATAAGGATGGCAAATCTATTGATGAAGTGATGAAACTTCATCAGTTGAGATGGCTGGGACACGTGTTACGTATGCCCAACCACCGACTGCCTCGACGTGCCATGTTCAGTGGTATAGGAGTAGGTTAGAAGAAAGCTAGGGGCGGCCAGACCAAAACATGGCACAAGTCCATGAAGTCACTGACAAGTGGTCTGAGACACGTTGGTAGGTGTAGACTACCTGGTTGGGGACCGCGAGATGAAAGCAACCGATGGTTAGAGACCTTGAATGACATGGCTCAAAATCGTTTGCAATGGAGCAGGTGCATCCACTCTTTGTGTTCTCTCAAATTCTAATCTTCTGATTTCTTCATGTCCCTTTCTTTTTTCTCTCCCCAAATTTATTTCACTGGATTATAGCCCTTGAATAACATCTTCAAACCCTAATATTTTTTATTACAGCTTATAATCTTACTACATCTAGCACTACGGGATTTGAATCGACCACTGCATCTCTGTGCTAATGTGGTGTGGCAACTCGAACTGATGTACGTACGTACGAAGTTCTACGTTGGGACTGACTGACTGACCCACCACCACGAGAAGGCAGCGAGTAAGAACTCCTTGGCAGTGGTTGTATGCAGGTGTCCATATGATAGCGTTTCGAGAAAGAGTTGACTCTCTTTACTCTCGACCGTACCAGGGCATTTGGGGGACGTCAAGGTTTAAGGATTATTGCCGACAAACCGATAATATTCACAGTAATAATAAAAACTAAAATTAATCTAATCATATGTTAGAAAAATATGAACCGGAAGTATACCTCTATCTGAAAATATCCCTTCATCAAATCTAATACATTATAAATGTTCAATGAATATGTAAAATAAAATAGAATTATGTTAAACAAACAATCCGTCTAAACAATACCGACAACGATTTAATGTCAAAAAAGAAATGAAAAGCTCAAAATAAGTAGGTAAATTTCTTTATTTTTTAAAAAAACGTTTAGCATGATTAGTAAAATAGATTGCTTTATTGCAATATATTTACAATTGTGAACAAGTGTAAATTACATTTCTTACTTCTATTCCCCTTTTGTGTGCATAAAACAATGAGTGCTTGAGCGCACACACACACATACATACATACATACATACACAGGCATCAAAAACAATAGAAAAAAAACAACTATGGATTTGTTTACAATTTGATACCTGAGGACAAAAGAGAACGGAGACAAAGGGGGAGAGGATAAATATAAATATATAAGTAAGTAATAAATACGAATAAATAAGTAGTCAAATAAGCCGAATACTTACTCGCAACCAACAAATTATAAATAAATGTGTATAAATGACGATAATAAACTGACAATAATAATAATGATAATACCCATAATTAATAAGCAAGGTGAAACATAAAATTACCTAATGTGTACAGTAAATATATAGAAGTGTATTCATCTAAGAGAAGCTGATACTAGATAAATAAAAAAAGAGGAACACACAGTATAACTAGAATTTAGTGTAACCATCTGACTGGTGTAGATTGGAATAAAAGAAGATAGAGAATGTGGTCAAAAAAAGAACAACGTGAAACAAGTCATACTACATTTTCTTTCCACGAAAACTAGAAGAATGTTAATTATATTGTTAAATTTATACCGAATATAACTGTCTTCTTCCTTTCTAACATGTGATCATCGGTCAATTTAGTCTATATGAAATACATACTACTCATAAGGATAAATAACTATATCTAGCTATAATCTCTATAAGATTAACTATCAAAAATTAAGTTCTGTTTTTTTGTTGTGAATCCCTTCTATGAATAAGCCTGTCAACTAAAAATCCTAAACAAATAGGCAGAGAGAGAAAAAAGTCAGAGGGAAATGAAGTGAAGTCAATTACAATAGCAAACAAAAACGAATACAAAGTGAACATTTATGAGAAAACCCAAATAAAACACTTCAATAAAATAAAAGAAGCACCGACAAAAACAAAAGGAATGTGGAAACCAAGAAAAACTTATAGTGAATTACAAACATAGAAAACCATATGTATGCGCCTAAATGTTTTGTAATTTGATTGTGTACAGTGTTTATTATTATTATCATAATTAATAGTTGATACATTGAATCTTAAGAGCATTGTGTGGGCGGGGTGGTGAATAAAATGGGAAAATAGAAGCACTTCCACCACCATAACCAAAACACATTATTAAATAAGCATATACAACAGAATTAAGCGAAATGGTAACTACTGTGTCTACTCCAACTATTTGAATTAATTTAATACAGACTGTTGACTAGGTAAATCCGGTTGACTTCCAGCTCCATTACGCCTTAACGATAAAGAGGATACAGGAGGTGGTAAATGATGGTGATGATGACTAGTTGATCCTATAGTACCAGAGCTAGAAGAACCGGTACAATCGACACTGATACTGCGTGTACTACGACGTTCAGCTAAACGATGTGTTACACGTTCTAACATACGAATCCATTCATCTCTTTCAATAAGTGTAGGTGCAGCCATTCTGTATACTGTATGCTGATGACCTGTAAAATTACAACAAAAAACATCAGCATATAAGTATTGGAGACGTTTTTTAAAGAGATACACCAATAATTCATAATTTTGATAAAGATGCCTTTATGAGGAAATCAGTTTGGAGTGTGTTAAAATCACTCGCTTTACGAACTAATTATCGTACTCGACTAGTCCCCAAAATCAGGACACCGTTGAACAGGAAAAAAATTATATTCCAAATAAACAAGGCTGAATGGGAGTAACAATCAAAGTGTGAAAACTGTTAGTAAGTTAATAATTTACATGTAAGAATATTCTAGAGTATTCTTCAGATATCTTCTAGCTTTGATTGGATAAAACTGGGCCAATCAGTGGGTCCTAATAACATTCTGCACAGAAAATGCATTAGTCTGATCTACGGCCTACTGACAGAATCTGATGAAACATAAAAGTGTATCTTGTAGAACAAAGTATTGCTTTCAGAAGATTGAACTTTGTTGTAATTATTATTGTCATTATCAGTTTTCCTAATATGATTTTTCCCACTAAATAACCTTCAAGCTGTAACAGTCAGTCAGCAACAACGCAGGACATCATACGTACATCAGTTAAGTTGCCACACCACATTAATATAGAAGTACAATTGTCGATTCAAATCCCATAGTGATAGTGGTAGTCAGAGTATAAGCAGTAATCGGAAAGATTAGGCCTTGATGATGTTATTCATGGAGTAGTCTCCTGAAATAAATTTGGAAAGAAAAAAGAAAAAGGACATGAAGAAATAAGAAGATTAGAATTCGGGAGAACACAAGGAGTGGATGCACCTGCTCACACCATTGCAAACGATTTTGAGTCATGTCATTCAGGGTTTCTAACCATCGATTACTATCATCTCGCAGATCCCAACCAGGTAGTCTACACCTACCAACATGACTCAGTCCACTTGTCAGTGACTTCATGGATTTGTGCCATATTTTGGTGTGGTCGCCCTACCTTTCTTTCTGTTATATCCCGATAAGCATAATGAATGGTAACTTTTGGGGTCCATTTATGGACCAATACTATCCCTATATTTTTATCGTATAATTGTTAGATAACTAAACTATTCATATTCATGTCCCTCTTATCATGAGCTTCATTTTGACCTATGAACTACTAATATACTATTTATCATCCTTGGATTATGACCTGTCTATTAATTAATACCTCCCACGTTCACAGCCACATTTGGCTAAATCATGTACAAATGTTGTTTCGTATTTTATGGTACGATGTGGTCTGTCTGGTTGGTATATGAACCCAGTATGCTTGAAATAAATAATTCATATCGCAGAGGCTGATATTGTTCTGGATTTGACTGGGTGGCCTGTCAGGAAGCGGGACCAATAAGGACTGTAGACTGCTTGCACGTGTTTTGTGCGTTATTGGTCCGATCGATAATTCACTGATCTCTAATTGGTGGTCACAAGTATAACACTTCCAACCTACTCCAACACTATAGAACATCGCTCGTTGGGTCAGTCAGTGGTTGGGCATAAGTAACATGGGTCCCAGACATCTCAACTGATGAAGTTTAACTACTTCATCAATTGATTTGCCATTCTTATCAGGTACGCGAATCTTTACACGAAATATCGGTCTATTATTGTTCATTCTTCACCGCATAAGGTGTTTACATTTATATAAGCTAAATAGTATCCAATTTACAGCTGATTGACAGGATCATTCTTTAAGAGAATGAGGGGTTATTTTACAGAAAGACAATTATCTATTATTATATATAATAAAGACCAGCCCTCGTCATGAGTTTATACTTTATTATGCAATCGATATTAATGTTATTATTCAATACTACCAAATCGAACGATTAACAGTAAGAAATTAATGATTCACTGGGATAAATGGATAGTACCCAACAGTGGAATTCAGAACATGCATCTCGTCGTATTTAAAATTCCTTAGCTGAATGTGTCTGGATCTTAGTATCGATGTTCACATTAGGACTAGAACTCGAAGACATTTTTTTACTTTCTCAGATCACATAATCACTGAGTGTTTAATATGGTATATTGTCAATAATGCAAGACTAAATTTCGATCAGTATTTGTTGACATATATATATATATATATATATATATATATATATATATATACATTAACTCAATAATCATTCACAGTTGATTAATATTTGTCTATGAAGTAAACACAATAGTGAATATATATCTATATAATCAATCAAAATTAATTACACTTTTGACTACAATATCTGATTAACGTTTTTGCCGATTAATTAACTGATCAATTGAATTTAATTAATCGGTATTCATTGAAAAAAAAATCACTTAATGATTGGGAAAGATCAATTGCATATTGAATAACTACTGTCAAAACCGATCATTGAAATGGGATTTTTTCTGGGTTATTCTCTTTTTAAAAAAAATTCTAATTAAATTATTATTGGAACAATTTTGTTCTTTCTTGTTATGAATCAACCAGTCATGTTCAGCATGTATAGAGAGCCTGATATAAATGTTAGTTTAAGTTGTCATACCATATTACCAAGATGAAGTGAAATTAATGAGATGACTAGTGAAGGAAATGAAAGAATAGTAATAGTAGTGACTATAATGAGAAAAACTAAACATTATGAATATAGTTCGAAAAGACAGAATGAAAAGATATATATAAATGAATATTGGAACTGATAATCTAAACCAAAAGGTAAGATAAAGATTGAATGACTGGTTTTGAGTTATATCAACTAATAATCTGCAACCGGTGATTACAACTAACTTTATGAATACATGTAGGAAATCTATGGTTATACGTATTGGGATGGGTTGGAAACTATATTAGTTATGTTTATAACAGGTGATAGTAAATATGACTAAATAATATATACTTTGTACATAGTGTCCACATTAAGTAGAAGGATAATTCGTGAGTAGTGGTTTGGATTTCCTTTACTAATAACTCAGTCCTGGAAAACGAGTTCAGAAAACATTTGAATTTTCGCATAGAAAGTTTGAATAAACATATGTGCTTTACATTTTTGACACATCACAGTTGTTTTTTATTAAAGGAACCATATATTTTCATCAATCTAATCAACTCAAATGAACTGTATTGGTTAGACTGATCAACTATCAAATATTTTATTTAAAATAATTCGCAAACGTAGTCTGAAAGAGCTCATATATTCAACGCTGAACCATACTTTTGCCTTTTGCAATAGCTGATGATAATACACCCTGGTTAACCCTAGGTTGCCAGCGAATTCGATCGATACACATATGTGCTATGTCGGTCTTATGCTGCTTATAACTGAAATTGGTAAGCCACGACGTGGTATTATTCTATGGAGTGAATGACTACTGGACTGAGTAGTGTTGATAGATGCTGACTAATTAATAAGGGTTCGTGAGGTTATCGTAAGCAGTAATTGGTGACATTGAGTGATATGGATAAGAATAGGTTGGCATAACTCAGATGTATTCATTGTTTGTTCGCCCTTAGATCATGTTTTTCAAAAATAATTTTATACTTTTTATTCCACAAATTGATTTTCTTTCCTTAAATCTGTCTCTGCCTTTTCTTTTCTACCACTACTAACACGCTTACTACTACTACTCTGACGTTTATGTGGATAATTTCCTCCTTCTGTGCTGACGCAGCGCAGTAGCTTGGACCGACAGAGATAATGCCAGTCCTTACGTCGATTATATCTGACTGGCTGGCAATTTGGAATAGGTGGAGTAGAACCTTAATCAAGAAGCTAATGATAATTTTAAATTGAATGTTTTCACCACGCTGAATAATCGAACCTATTAATTAATTGACTGACGGCATTATGAAAATAAGGTTGCAATCAATAATCAGTCGAGATAAACTACAAAGTCCCATATATGCTTACGAAAATCTTATAGAATTGGTGGAATTACGTCATTTATTTGGTCTAGTGTTAATTATACAAAGTGACAATAATAACTGGTATCCTTGTCCCCCATTGTTCCTTCCAACTTGATCCAATTCCAGTTAATAAGATGTGTTTCCGAATATTTACTGTTACTATTTAAGAAAAACTAGAAATAATGAAGAACATTCAGAGAAATATGAGAACATAACCAATAGTCAAAGACATCGGGTGATATGGCTAGGAATAAAGCCCTGTTCAAATATCATATAAGCTAATGGGATTTAAAATCTTTACAAGCTCAGTAGAACACATATATCAGAAAATATATTACTACTACCACTACTAATACTAATACTACTACTACCACTACACGGTTACCTGTGGCTAATTCCCTTTCAACTTTACATGATTTAATTAATTGATTTCGTGGACAATATAATTCGAAACAATTCTCTCTTGTTTTATCATGTATTAGTCGAATATTGATCCCTTCCAGTGGGATAACACCTTTGATTTGACGAGAACGCTAGACCACAAACAAAAAAAATACGAGATTGAAAGAGAAATCGGAAATTATAGAAAATTGATGAAAATAAAAATAGCAATTAGAATGTTTATAATGTTCATTTGATGGATAGCATATATCGTTGAAAATTTAAATTGATTAATTCATTGAGTAGTGGCCAATGTTGCGTTTGTTAGTACTTTAGTGGTGATCGGATTCTATCCATCAATTTGGAATATCGTCACTAGTCTTAGTGATTTGACATCGTGTGCATTATGTTGATATGTTAGGTGGTTGCAGAAAGTCAGCAAGAAACACTGAACCTAGGTTTCGTGCTAGTTGGCACATGTTAGTAAGGCATACTTGAGATATCAAGGGAACTACAAATACATAACACCTCAAAAGAGTACATGCGATGTCCAATCACTAAGACGAATGACACACTAAAACTTGACTGATAGAAAACGACCAACACTTAAAGGACCAGACAAATACAACATTGGTCACTACTCAATAAATAATGTAACTATCTCAATTCAATAGATCAGTCACAACCCGAATAGTTTAGTGATGTCTCAAGCTTGAATCCACCACGGAATATCGGTTCCCGCAAGATTGCTGACAAGTGCTAACCTAGACGAAACCTCGGTTAAGCGGAGATTTTTACTGAATCTCTTAAACCACCCGATGCGGACGAAAAGATTTTAAACTAGATATTTTAAGAAAAAAATTATGATGAATATCAATAGATTGAAAAATAAAACAAAAAGAGAGTTTCAATAAAGAGATCTACGTTTGTTACCGATGGTATTTCTTAACGGTTAGTGGTCAAAGTGGTACTTGGGAGACTTAATAACCAAAAATGGGTTACAAACAAGTTTGAATGGATCCAATCCTACTTCGATGAGGATACACACATAGCTTATTTCCCCGTAAACGTGTTACATGAAAATTGAGCGTCATATATAACAAAGGAACAAAAATCAGCAACAATAATACTAAAATGTGTTATTCTTATTTTAGGAAGTGAATCATTTAAAGGTAAATGTGTTCCAGAAACTAGGTCAAGATAGATAATTATGAAAACCGGTTGCACAAAATGATAAATTTGAAGGTTAAAATACAATTTTAAAAAGCATAGAAACTCGGCGTTTTATCACTCGCCTTCACCAGACAGAACTATGTCGTTTACATATTTGGAGTCGACAAGTATTATCTCTAAAATGATGTGTGCGACAAATTTAAATAAAAATGAACGAAGTTGGCAACCCTTACGAAAATCGTTTGATTTTGGTGAGAGTTTGCCAAAGGTTTTAGAGTTCACTAGTAGTATTTGAGTACAGAGGCTTCACAAAGCTGATGCAATCCTTTGGTATACTTCTCAATGACAGATAATGTCATAAAACTTTTCGGTCAATAAAGTTGAATAGCACCTTAAGGTTAAGAAATACCGTTATAGTTGGTATGTATTTCTACGTTCTAGAACCCAACAAATGGTGTATATTCGGTCGGTATAACCATGTTCAGGTCTGAAATTAGCCCAATTTTTCGGGGTTCTTTTTTTATGAGCCTTAGGTTAACATCTTGTGATTACGTACATTCAGTGTGCCTAGAAGCATAAAACATAAATATGTGCTTATTGGCCGGATTATATGATTACTACTATTATAGTATGTTCGGATTTTCTCAAAACATTTACATCAATTGACGTGGGGTTAGGTCATTTCAGTCTGTCATAAAAACAACAAAAAGGGATAGTTATCACACACAGTATCGCATGAAACAATGAATAAATGTATTGTACGATATTCGTTTTCATCAGTTACTTAACAGATGACTATGATCTAGGTGAAAAAATGATGAATAACAAACTCACTTTCTCAATGTTTCTAAGTGAGAAAATGGGCAACAAGATGTACTAAACTTTCACATTGAATGATGGAAAGTAAAACAGATATAAATTAATGGTAAATATAAGTGTGCAGTCAGTCAGTTAGTCATCATCAAAGTCGAGCATGGCACAGATGTATATGTGTGTTTCAGTTTCCCGTTTATTTGGGGATAGTTGGTAATTAGAGGATAGCTGGAGGGTAATTGAAGTGTTCCTTAAATTTTTCAGCCCATTGTTTTAACCTCCTAAACTAAGAGTGATTAGCAGTTGTTTTTCCTAGATGATTTCGTTAACGGTGGCTTCTTCGATAGTTGTTTCCTTGATGAGTTGGAATAGTTGTCTGGTGTTATTAATGGCCGCTGCCTTTCCTATTTTATTTACTTTCGTTGCTCGCGATCATAGTGAGAACTTTTTGTTTGTTTACTTTTGAGTCGTTAAAACGCTACATATATATATTTTTTTCTAGCATTCGACACGAATTTATTCTTTTCTTCAGGTTGCAAACTTACTCAATCCACTTCTTTCATTAGTCAGATGAGGGATATCAAAAACAGACAATTTTGAGTACGTCTATGTAGCTTTGCAGTTGAATTTTGTTTTCTTACTTTTTCTTAGACATGTTTTTATTAATAGTTGTTAATTGTTAACCAAACTACTGAACAACATATGCGATTTGATAAATGGTTATGGGATGAACGCGCGAAAGTACAATCCAACGCATTCCTCATGTTATATTTGGACCATTGATGAGTGAATAATGATAAGATTAGACTTACGGTACCAAGTAAATGTGGCAAATAGATCGACAAGATAGTGATAATAGCCAAAAAACAAAGAAGAATTAGGAATTATTACAAAAAATATTATAGACGACATATTACTTACGTCAGGAGTAAGATAATATATGAGGCTGTCCTCTGTTAGCACAAACCATCGTCTTTTCCAACTTTTAACTCGACCACCTATAACAAAATAGAAAGTATACACATCTGAGACGTAGGATGTTTATTTAAATCAATTTAATACGTGAAATCAGCCCATGGTGCTACTTATTTATCCAACCACGTTCTTGATGCTAGATAAATCAATGAAGGTTAACCAAAGAATTTTTATAATGATTATCATCAGTGACTAAAACCACTGTCATTGTTGCTGTGACTCATTTTTTAAAAATATCTCAAAACCTACCAAGTTTCCATAACCATCCTTTATGAATTCCATTATTTTGATTGGATCCACATACAGATGAGTCGTCAGAAACAGGACGAAGTGGTTCAGTTTTAATAGCACGATAAATTTTCTATAAAGAAAAGAAATATAATAGCGAAAATTATTAGGAAAGAAATAAATACTGAAACTAGTTGACATACTACATGTACAATACAGTTTATTCACTAATCAAATACATATTTTTGTCAATAGCTTTGAGGAATACTCGAAGTATGAAAGCTAACTCTGGTTTCACAAATAGATTCCAAGCCAACGGTATACATGAGGACAGGGTCCTGAGTAAACGAATGATGTATGGTATGATTTCGATCACCAGACACCATCGAACGCGCCCTCTTGATTCCTTTTAGATTAGAAGTTTTTATCTAAGACTCGGGGAGTAACTCTCGATGAAAACCACTTACTTCGGTTTGGGCAGTTGTCTGTGAGAGCATTTCGAGGTAAAAAGAGCGTGCTCTTCTCACCCTCAACAGTACTAGGGTATTTGAAGGCTATTGAGGTAATTGCCTTAATCCATAAATTAACGATATACAGATTCTTAGGAGCAAATATCCAAGCCACAATCGAATGTTGTAATTTCCGGTGAATAAAATGTATGGCACGAACTAAATATCGTTGAGCAAAATAAATAGAAATTCGACATCACCCATACCGATTCATTGGCATCAGTAAATAGATAGGAGTAGAATGTAAACACAATGAATTGAATAACACAACAAATATGATGATCAGATCAAATTGCTTACACGAACAAGATCTTCGGACAAGTTAGTTTCTTCATCAAATTCCATCATGGCACGTACAAATGTTTTTTCTTCTGCTAAACCTAAATTTTGGCTTTTTGCATTTATGTTATGTAGTGTAGTATTTAACAAAATAACGGCGTAAGAAAGTACATAAGCCTCGTCTAGAAGAGAAAAAACAGATAAGTGGATACAAAAAGCCAATACATCATTCAATTATAATAATGTAAAAAACTATGGAAAGAAATAAAAGTGAGAACCAAATGGTTAATTAAATTAGTGTGGCCAAGTTAATAAACCGAACTGAACCACGTTTTGTGACTAACCATCAAACTACGTGAAAAATGCACCACTTTTATTCATTTATTTACAGGACAAGTAAACTCTAGTACAATGGACACAACAAAAAATGAAGTCATAATATTATGAAGAAATAGGTTATTACAATTAATTATTAAATGAACAAGAGTATTTGTTGAGATATATAGTTCAATTAAAAATACAATCAAGGACTTCTTTCACTTGAGAAATTTCACGACACTTTTATGAAGGGTTTAACATAAAACTATAGTAGTATAATTGCTGCTAGTTTCTATTCTGTTTGACGTCTTAAATCACTAATTCGCATAATCTGTAGAATCCCTACCTAGGAGTCGTGGTGAATAGATAGATGCAAGACATTTACGGTTATTTTCTAACCAACGACCTTGTTTTATAGATTGGTTACCTATGTTTTTCCCACAAACAGTGTCAGCGTTAGCAAATAATGTACAGTATGAAAGCCGCTGAGAAGACATTCATAAAATACGTTCTAGATGGTGATGCCAATTGATACCAATTCACCGAAACACATTGCCGAACCACAATATCACGGATACAATTTTGCCGCTGGATGCAAGTAACACTTTAGAGACGACGATCGAATGCAAAGAACATTCATAATTTCAAGTGACCAGGTAGATCTGCTTTCATCGATGTATTGTAAACCCAATACTTTACAATCAAACCATTATCACAACGGGGTCAAAGATGGTTAAGATCGGCATAAACCGCTGGGACTTTCATTATACATGGATTGAATTGCTACCAAAACACAACTATACAGATACACGAATTTCTCGGTCAGTGCAGCGACCATGACTGTGCAGGAAATTGGTGCTAGTCACAAATATGACATTTCTCCATATGAAGTCTGAATGTAAATTAATTATACTGAGGTTGACTACCAAAGGCGTGGATGTATCCACGACTGAATTTTCATTTGGGTTGCCAATATGAACTCTGATCATTTCCTGGCTTGAGTCAAGCCTAGTTTACGTGTTGTTAGTCAACGAATTTATCATCCAAGATGGGTTATTAATTTGGGTTGGTTGTACTTTCAACTGCAAGTGAATACCGAACTAAGCTAAGCTGAAAGCTAATCATTGATCAGTCAGTCAGTCAGTCAGCTACAACGTAGGACCAGGCACATGTATGCATCGGCCCAGGTTGCCATACCTCATTAGCACAGCAAGATGAACACTGGATTCATAGGAGTGGTTAGGTCAAAGGTGGTAATATATAGGAGAAAGATTGCAATAAGGATATAGTATAGGAAGAAAGAATTAGTTCGTAGAAAGAAAGATGTGAAGTGATCTTAATCTCTTAGTTTAAGAGAAGACAGAGAGTGTATACACCGACGCCATTGTGATCGATTCTGAGCCATGTCACCAAGGGTCTCCAACCATTGGTTACGAAAGTCACGCGGACCCCAACCAAGTAGTCTGCATCTACCAACATGGCTCAGACTAGAAGTTAGTGACTTCCCGACCGTTGTTGCTACCTTGACGTGGTGGTCGGGCTTGCCTATCGTGATGAAGCAACCGAGCTATACTGGCTGGAACAACCGTTCCTCAAGGTCCTACCATGTCAGACAGGTCGGTTGAAGAGCGGTAAGACTAAAAGCAACAAACCCAAGGTCCGAAGGCGAAGTCGTACTGCTGACTGTACAGAGGTGTGACAGCAGTAAGGTGTTTCCTTCAGACAACCAGCATGACAGCGATGCTGCCTTCCCACAAGGAGGGGTGGGGTTAGAAAAGGTCGACCCTAAAAATGCACACCTCGCCTTACCCCACGGATATCCGTCTCCGGCGGTAAGGTCTCAATAAGTACGGAGCTAACACAAAAATTACCCATAACAAGGTCGTGTGTGACCGACCTCAAGCAGTTGTCCCTTGGGCACTGCGGTCACGCTCTCAGTTCACTAAGACCACCTTTAATCCAATTTCCTTTTCAGGTACCTCCAGAACAACCCTTCCACGGTGTGGGCAACCGGGAAGTGATAACCGCCCTCATACTTCTAACAGCACTCAAGTCCACTGTATTCATAATCAACCTCCTTCTTCAATCATTGATCAACCGAAAAGCGTAGATGAGCAATGTGTGCATTTGCATGACTTCATCAAAACAGCGAGTAAATTCGCTTGACATCCTGCGAAATTATTCACTTATAAGTGCTTCGTTTCCATAGAGTTCCGACTAGCCCTTGAGGCTTCCTGGCTTGATAATACAAGTACTTCCTCAAGCTGGAGCATTCGGTTCTTGAAATACATTGGTGGAAACGACGGGTTTATCTAACGTGGTCGAACAACCCTGATTCCAAACTTGGTATGATGGAAATAAAAGTCAATTTTCGATTGATTTACTCATTATGAGTTTAGTTCAAGATTGCTTTCGTTTTGGCTCAATGTAATGATTACTCAGTGTATTATTTTTTTCTTTTCTCGTATGATATTTTATTCTGTATAATATGCGATATTCTTGTATTCCATTGACATGAACGATACTCAGTCTGTGATTTATTATATATGTGATTTCATCCTAATTATTAATCCAAATGGGTGTACAATCAATATATAAATGAGTGTATTTCCTACTAGAGTCATCGTCGTGTCTTGGGGGTTAATAAATCATCACTTATACAAGTCTTTGCGTTCTTACTTTCGCGTTGTGGCAATTGTAGAAGTCTCTCGTTCCGAGTATAATTGATAAGCGTTTCCGACATAACAATCAGCGACGATCAGATACAAAAATTAGCATTAAAAGAGCAAAGACAATAAGCATTCAAACGAACAGTTATAACAATGGTGTACAGAGCTATATTAGCCACTAGCTACCGATGGAACTGCATAACATAACGTTGCCCTACTGTCATGTGGGTTGCAAGCTCAGAGTGTAGCCTCATAAGGAAACCATTTGCTTCATTTTATGCGTTTGTGGAGTGTCCCAACCCATATATGATAATAATTACTAGTGAAACGTCGACGATTATGATTTTTCTACGTTTGAAGAGATTACAATATCACCTAAAACCGGCGAACAGAATGAAAGTCAGCAACACTACAACAGGACAAACTAAACTATCCCACTGCACCCCAGCCCTACTAACCTGAGGGAGAAGACCAGATTCAGCAGAGGGAAATGTAAATTTGAGAAGCAGTCGGAAGCACGAACGAACAAGCACAAAACTCATTCGTATACATACAGTACAAAAATGTCCTTGGAAAACATCACAAAATAGCGTACTAAAAGATTAAACAGACCAATAACAGTTAGATTCCTTCTAAGTGGGAATTATCACCTTACAGAGCGTCCTTCAATTAGTTGTAGTACTTCCTCCGTAGGGACTGCGGGTAAGCTGAAGGTGTCTTACAGAACTTCGAGCGGGAGATTTCTGCTTCTCGATGAGTGGTCTGGGACTAACCGTTTACGTAGCTGGTTCTGATGTCGAGTCCACTTATCTCTTCCCACCGCTACTTCATACATGGCTTGGCCTAGCCTTCTGACCACACGTCTCAGCTCAGGGATCATGGTCTGATCTGTAGTCCCGAATAAATACCAGACGTCCAACCTCGTGTGTTGGCGGCTCCTTTCAGTTACGAAATAATGAGTATTTTTTAAACTATCCAGTCGGATCCCATCACAGTTGTCCATCACAATCATAAACGTTTAAGTTATAAAATGTCCAAATGCATGGAAAAGAATCCTCGTAAATACAAATAACGACCACAAGAAATATACTAATCAGTGATCCCTGGTAAATGTTTGGAAATTTATTTGTCAGTACTCAACTATAGGGCCAAACTACTAACCCAAACAATATACACAGGAAGAAATATCAGTAAACTACGATATGCGACATAGAAAAACCTGCTTTATTCATGAAACAGAATAGTGAAACTAAATGAACCATTCTACATATGATATTGGAGGGTGATTTTAATCTGCCTACAGAATTTGTTTACAAAGCTGATCAGAAGATACGAATATTGTGCGTCTTAAAGACTCTTGATACCTGTCCCTTAAATTTTGGAGGGAACAAGACGATTTATATAACTTATAATTCGTGCTAGATCATAAGTCCTTAATCCGATAAAACGTATTTAATATGTACTAAAATAACAAGATAGGAACTATATCCAAAGAAAGTGAAGTCTGAAAACGATTAGGTTTTATTAAATACCGACAAATGGATGGCAGGTCATTTTATATTATTTGGGGACATAACATTAAGAGATAGTACGCATTAGTGGCAAACCGAGGTCTTATGCAAAAATAAAATCTGAAAAAATATGGATTAGCGGAATAAAAAGCATTTTTTGCGAAGCACTTTAGAAGCTTAGGATCCACAAGAAGATATTGTGAATGCGCCGGTGCTACTGTGAACAACTCAGAGCGTTTTTAACCAGTATCCAACCACAAATTACGATTATTACGTTGACTCAAACCAGGTAGTTAGCACCTGACGATAGGATTCGGTTCAACAGTAAATGGTTTTGTGGACTAATCTCATGTCTTGTTTCAGAAGCACTAGCTTCCTCGCAATCTAACCAAACACCCGTAATCACTGGGACTCGAGGTAGGCGGTGAATGGGCATACGTAATACATATGTTGACAGTCTCGGTCAATAGAGATGTACAACCTCAAATTTTACAGATTGAGCGTTCTGAAAAATATGGAATTGCTACCATAAGGCACAAATAACCTCCGGTAATACACGTGCAGATTGCTAGTCATACGTAATACAAAATATATGACAGGTTCGATAAAACCTTTGTAGTCCACGCACAAGTCATGTGATCTAGAACTGTCCTTAATTATTATCGCTAGTCACCTGATGATAATTGTGGTTCTTATACCATAGAATAAGAATCTATTTATCTGGTTAAGAAATCGACAGATTTATTCAGTTATAAAATATAAGTCTATATAAAATATTCAACTCCCAGAACTTCAATTTGTCTTAAAGTAGCTGGTCAGGCCCCAAAAGGCAAATAACAACAAATATAGAATATGCAGCTTATGGCAGACTGTCATCTGGTTTTTCAACCTCAAATAGTGTCCGTTAATGCTGTCCATTATGTCCATTTCTGTTTAATTTCATGACAGACTTACTGCTGGAAATAACTTTCTCGTCAACCGAATTTCCGGGGATTGATCTTCTAGGAGGTTCACTTGTCGACGTAGAATACGCAGACGACATAATTCTGTTTGGTGAAGACGCTGATAAAATGCTGTCCTTTGGTAACACTGAGCAACGATGCCACTGTGTTTGAAATGCGTTTCTTTACGTCTAAATGAAATTATTGCTTCAGGACTGACCAGTGCCAACAACTGAACTAAGGATAGGGAGTGAAGTAATCGAACGCGTCGACAACACTTATCTTGGAAGTCTGGTGCCTCCAAATGCCCTGGTACGGCCGAGAGTAGAGAGAGTCAACCCTCCCGCTCGAAATGCTCTCACATGGACACCTGAATACAATTACTGACAGGGAAGTCCTACTCACTGCCTTCTCACGGGATTACCGTTGTTTATGAAATTGAGAGGAATTGAAAAACCTGATTCCAAACAAATAGTCCACATGGGCTCCAATATCCTGAAGGAACAAATGGCGTACGAACCTATTGTTGGTCAACGGATACCATGGGACTGCATTTCCTTACAGTGCTCCATTGCCTTATGGATCAGACCTTTAGGTCAAAGGCCCGGGGTGTGGCCCCCTAAGAAAACTACCTGCTTCGGTTTGGACACCCGGGTAGTATCCCAGCCCTCACACCGAATGATTTATGTGGCGCATATCTACTTGGTGCCTCCTTGTACCAGTGTTTATGTGTTTAAATAAATAAATAAGTAATAATGGGTTAATATCTGACGAAATCTCTACCATGTTAGTGGATGCAAGCTACTTGTTTGGGGTCCGCGCGACTATAGTTACTAGTGGTTGGAGACTCTAGATGCCATTTCTCAGGATCAATCACAATGAAGTAGGTGTACACACTTTGTCTTCCCTTAAACCATGAGATCGAAATTGCTTTATACCTTTGTTTCTACGAATTAATTCTTTCTACCTGTATCATGTCCTTTCTATACACTTTTATATATTACTACCACTGAATTAACTACTATGAGTTTGGTGTTCATCTTGTTGTGCTAATGAGGTGTGGCAACTTGGACTGATGCATATATACACCTGGTCCTACACTGTAACTGACTGACAAACGCAATAAAAAATAAAACGTCATAAATATATTAACATACGTGGTGAGTTAAAAACGGAAGGATTTTGTTCTACATAGCGTTCAGAGAAACTCGTTAAAATGCGGTCAATTTTCTGACTCTCCCCAGGCAGTTGGAAGCTAAGCAAAAATTGTCTGAAAAGAAGAAGCTTTAGTAAAAAAAATTGGAACACACCAATAAACGATGTAGATGTTGGGTAGAATTACAAGTATGGTTACATATCAAGATTTCACCAAACATCATAAATACTATGGAGTTGTTAACGAAAATTGTGGAAAAGAAAGCATTAGTCTTATTACTTTTGTGTTCTATTAACGTTGAATAATTCGTAAGTTTTTAGTTAGACTGTCCTTCAGATAAATGGATACCCCTTACAATCGCTAATTTCAGCAAACATTATAGAAGATTGTTATTATGTCATTTATAGTGTAATGTAGTAGTATTAAGAACAAAAGATTTAGAAGATCACTAAGGAATGCAACTATGCGACATCACTTGAGGCTTTTAGTCATGGATCACAACACAGGAGTACACTTGTTGGGAGTTCATGCAGAGTAAAACTGCACGCTAACAAAAACTCCGAATAAGTTGCATTCATGATTCACAACTATGGTGGAACACGGGCAAAAATCAAGACCAATATTTAATATAGAAAGGATAAGCAAAACCTCACCTATGACGAACCCCAAGAACTTAAATAAGTGACTAGGAACATGTCGAAAACAAAAACACAAAGTTGACTCACCTAAGAGCCGGTAAAAACTCTTCGTCCTTGAAGTCATGCAACTTGGAGAATGCATCCAAAACTTGCATGTTAAATTCTTTACAACTACAAAAAGCAAACAAAAAAATCAAGCATTAGGTACCAAATACAAAAATTGTGCTGGACATACTGAGCTAAATATATGGATGTTCTTAAGTTAGCGGTGATTTCCTCCGTCTAGACCATAAATATTTCACATGCAGCTGTCTGACATGATGTCATGATACCTTTAACTTGGATGTCAGTGAACACCAAATACATGATATATCAATACCGCTTGTTGTTTGGGCACTTACATTTTAATATCCGAGGTTTGCAAAAAAGCTTAAATGTATATCAGCTAAAAAGCCTTTCAAGCATAGTATAACGAAAAGCAGATTTACACAAAAATTCAAGAGCCGAGCTTACATCTCGCCAATATAGGTGCCAACGGCATGCTTAGATAAATTGTGATTTTGATCAATAAAGAATTTCGCTACGTCTTCCGGAGACCTTCCAATTATATTATTGTCGAAGAGGTATTCCAGACCCTGCAAATGTATTTGTAAAAGTAGTAGATCAAACCTGTTTTGGATTCCTATTGAATTCCTTGCAGCCAAACGCAAGCCGTCTAGCAGATGGGTCCTCCCTAAAAAACCATCATGAAGAATAATCGAAAATACCCATCGACAGAAAAACCAAGGTTTTCAATCTGGCTTGTTATGTCATTAAGTTCAAGTTTTAGAGACTACCAAAAGTAAGATTACAACACAGTTACCTCAATATTTTTCATAACCTGAGTCTTTTGCTGTCTAATGAAGTGTAGTCTTTCTTTTTCTTCGACGGTAAGCTCTAAATATAGATGATTATTAGTTTATACTTAGACGAAAAAATTCCACAACGGCACATAAAAACAACCACAACTGCTCACCATCATAGTCCATTCCATACGAGCTTTAAATAAACGCCTTATATTAGTGTGAGCTAAAACAAAATGACAACCTTTTGTTAATATACGGCAACTTTAGGACGGTTGAAACTTTTTAATATTTTGACTGTAAACGTTCATTATTCTTCTAATTCACCTCAAATGATCGTTAGTTTTTTATTACTTCAGGAAGTTATGTAATAGAAGTAAAATTTCCATATAGAGAAACCTCGTTCTTACACTAATCTTGACATTGCCTGGCAGTGAGTTAAGTTGTGATGAGGCTTTAACGGCTTCCGCTACAATCTTTTTTAAAAGCCCCTAGTTCAAGTACCATCATCGAGTTACTTAGACCATGAACTGGCTCATTCCGTTTAAACCCTACTTTTTTAGCATACGTGACAATTAAATACTTCTAATCCTATGATAATCCACAGTGATTCAGTAAAAGAATGAATATTATCGTTAAGATGGCAGTCAAATACATTGCAGCTTTATGTAACAAATCCTGACTTTGTTACATCTAACGTGCATAGTGTTTTTGGTACACACTACTGGTACTGTGGTACATACTATCTAGCTTGAGCATCCAGTTAGTGTATACAGCGCGAGAGCAAACACAAAAACTAAGATTTCCTGCTTGTCACTTCTGTCATTTGCCAAAATCACAAGAGATAATATGAGACGAAACAACATATGATAATTGTGATAAAACAGTTTTTTGGAAATACTCTGTGCCGGTGCAACCTCGTAGACAGATATTAGGTGAATAGTGAGCAAGCATCTCAAAGCCGCTGTATTAATAAGAATATGATTCTGTTTGTGACATTCGGGGTGTTAGATAGTACTATTTCTCAAGATACGTATGGGATAGTACAAAAAGGGCTTACATTGTGTGATTACTCTACAATATGGGAATGTTTTATAACTTAATAATTAGGTATCTTCCCGTTCTGACAAACAGATTGTTGGGGTACCGCTAATTATGCGAAAAGCTCTTTGTTGCATACGTAGATCACTAGTTTAGGTGATCTGTGTAGATGGGTGGTGTTTTTCGAGTTGTATGGTACTGCAAACATTGCTTAAAACATCCGAATTTTAGTATATTTAGACCTCAAATTCCTAATGTGATTGCTTCTTGAAAGGAACTCGATTAACATACTCAGGCGAAAAAATAAATAACCAGTGCTCCCAATTTTAGACGATTTGGACTTCGCAGACGACCTAGCCCTCCAATCACGTACACACGAACAGATGCAGATGAAGACAGCCAGTGTAGCAGCAGTCTCTGCATCAGTAGGTCTCAGCATACACAAAGGGAAAACCAAGGTCCTCAAATTCAAAGCGGAAAACGGCAATCCAATCACACTTGATGGAGAAACTCTGGAAGATGTAGAGTCCTTCACATACCTAGGAAGCATCATCGATGAACAAGGAGGTTCAGATGCAGACGTAAAGGCGAGGATCGGCAAAGCAAGGGTCGCATTCCTACAATTGAAGAACATATGGAACTCAAAACAACTTTCAACCAATATCAAAGTGAGAATCTTCAATACGAACGTCAAGGCAGTTCTACTGTATGGAGCTGAAACTTGGAGAACTACAACAACCACCATCAAGAAGGTACAAGTATTTATAAATAGCTGCCTACGCAAGATACTCAACATCCACTGGCCGGATACCATCAGCAATAGCCTTCTGTGGGAGAGAACAAAGCAACTTCCAGCTGAAGAAGAAATTAGGAAAAGACGATGGAAATGGATAGGACATACATTACGCAAACCGTCAAACTGCATCACGAGGCAAGCCCTAACTTGGAACCCTGAAGGGAGGCGAAAAAGAGGAAGGCCAAAGAACACATTGCGTCGGATAATAGAAGCAGATATGAAAAGGATGAATTACAACTGGACGGAGCTAGAAAGGATTGCCCAGGACAGGGTTGGATGGAGAATGCTGGTGAGTGGCCTATGCTCCTTCACGAGGAGTAACAGGCGTAAGTAAGTAAGCGCTCCCAATTTAAATATCTACAATAGATTTGTGAATATCAAGTTATTTATTCCAAAGTTTGTGGAATAACTATAATTATATTTTACGCAAAATGCTTGCAAGTTTTAGGTTTTCGGAGGATAGTATGCAAAATATCGAACTAAGAGAGGACGAAAATCGAAATTCTAAACAAGTCAAGTCCATAGTCCAAATGAAATAAATATATTGAAATCAATAGAAAGAATGATATTCATAACAATATGTTATGGTAAAACACTTCAAATTTCTCTCATAAAGGATGTTACCGTGGTTATCAGTGGTTTGGACTAACTGGGTAAATTCTGGCTCCGTTATATTATTTTCTGCGTTAGCACCGAATGTTTTTATGATGATATTGAAAATGCCAAAGGCATTTGGATTTTAACAACGCATTTACTAGTAACACCTACTATGAATCGTCACCATCAAGTGAAATCAAAATTCAGAAGCAAGGAGGTTCGAAGATATATTTGATAGGCTATCAATATATCGGGAATCGTCTGATCTAATCTGGCTAGCGATTGCAGGGGATGTTGAGCACGGTGTTTCCACCCGTGATCTGGTGCGGATACATGACCGAACGCCTTCAGCCAGGTTATTCCATTAAAACTAATATGATCAGCATCCAATGTCGTAAACTTACAGAGCTAATTATTTTGGGGATTTATTTACCGCTACAGACCGCTCCCCTCCTAGTGGGGTGGTGATGACCCTAAGACGTGGCCAGCCAGAAGTTTAAACCCAACGATTTTGTCGTTGGTAAACACTGTTCTGATAGCGTGTTATGTTTAGCAGCGTCTGGTCGTCTTTCCTTACTATAAAGGATCATGAAGTACAATATAGTAATAAAGAAAAAAGGCACAATGAAAATTTCGGTCCATCGTCAACTTCGTCGATCTCTTTTCGTTTTTACCACCCGTCCTGGAAAAGAAAAAAATTTGTAAGTGCATGTCAAAATACACTCGTGCACGCGTAAAATAACAAAGCGGGAGAAAAAAGAAAAACAAACTCATATACAGGAGATAGTGTAAAAGCGATTTTTAAAGAATTTTTTGGATTTTTAAAAAAAAGTTCAATATACACACATTAGCAACAAAATGATTTTGGAATAAATATATAAGTATAAGCATATTAAATTTTTATAATACGTAATACATAGGAAAATGGAGATGAAGCAAATTGTTAACTGGTGTTTTACGTGCAACAATCGTTTGAATGTTCTTGAAATCTTACTATTCTTCCACAACGCGTTGTTTTAAGTTTATTTTCAGATGCTTTCGAGGTATCATCGTGTGTGTTGGTTGTCGGATGAGGTATTATAAGTGTCGGCGTCGTGTCGTTCGATTGTACCGAGGGAAAATCGACGTGGATCGGATTTCTTTCTAAATACGCTGCTTTGAGGTGACCGATGCTGATGATATCGTTGGTTCCGTTTTTACCGACTATATAGTACTTGAGTTCGCCTTGAAGAACTCTGAAAGTTATTTCGTATTCTGATTCGAGAGGTCGTGGGTGTGAGTCTCGACGTACGAAGACGTGTGGACTACACCGTAAGTCAGGTTGAACGAAAGCATCAGTTGATTGCGATAGAGTAGAAACAAGTTTAACTGGACGCATTGCGTTTGTAAGACGAAGAAGAATCCACGAAACCTCCTGGAAGTCTAAGTGTCGTTCCACAAACCAGTTGGGCTGCAGTGTATCCAATGTCAGCTTTCACTGCATTGAGAATACCAAGTAAGACGAGTGGAAGAGCGTTGGTCCACCGTGAAACGTTTCATCTGATAGTAAAGCTTTTAGTTGCCGGTGATAAAGTTCTACCAACCCGTTTGTTTGTGGGCGGTAGCGGATGGTTTGGAAACGACTGATTCCTAATAGTGCGGTCAAACAACGGAAAAGTCAGGATTCGAACTGGGGGTTTATATACCGCTACAATATATATATTAGGACCGTATATACTTGCATACTTTCATCCATCTAACTGACGTTTACATGGTTCACTGAAATAAACTTATTAAAACATTGACGTAAGTATACATTGGCTAGCAATGTAATCAAGGACTTTGTAGTTATCGGGGTTTAGTTCTTCATCTTGTTTCTTTAATTAACATTATACTCTAGTTTAAACTGTGGACTATACTCTACACACTCTCAATATTTAATGTGGACAGTGTTGTTTTTCTTCATCGAGTTAACTTTCCTGTTTTGGTCGTTTATTGCTCGTCGACAGTACTGCTTTCACTTTAACTAACTTTATTTCAGTAAAAGTATTCTCCAAGAGTATCGTTTTTTGAAAGCAGTTTATTATCACTACTTTGAGTACATTGAATCTTTTTGTATTTCTTTACACTTTTGGTTCCAACAATTTTGCCCAATTTATCTTGTGTCTGGGTATTCTTTGCGTGTTTTTTTTAAAACCTGCGGTTTACAACTGAACAGTGCGAAAACAGTAATTGTCAACGTTCACGTCGTCGATAACTTGTGAAAAGTGGCATGCCATGCGATGAGTACAAATGATAATAGCACGAATCTAACTCCTGAGGCTTTTAAACGGATTAATAAAAGTTTCTGTGTGTGGTTGTGTCAGTTGTGCTGTTCAAACGCAAACATCTTGACATCCAAGGTCATTGCAATCGTGAATGCTCCTTAGATGGGTGTTAGCATGCGTAATCGAGACTAATAGAAGAGGGGCGGTTTGTAAAATGTCAATTAGAAGTAAGAGCTCCAGAAAGGGAGTTTCGCCCCTTTCCTCGCACTCCGGACGCTGATGAGCAGGAAACTCCTTAAAAGCCTAATCTCAAGGTCAGACTTGTTTTTTAGCAAAAAATAGTAACCTTACTACCCAAATCATCGACAGCCATCCAGAATCCCGAAATGCATGTAACGCAACTGTGATTGCTAATCCAGTGAAAGTTTATGAACGGGTACAGATAAAGAATTTGAAACAGCCTGATGTTACAGAAGAAAAGCGAGCCCCTCAAACAGTATCTGAGAAGCTGAAGGATGGTCATAGTGACTGGTCACTCGTCGTTTATAGAGTTAAGGGAAATGACAGCTCAGAACATGGAACTCGTTTCG